AAAAAAAAAATAAAAAATAAAAATCTACGAGACAAGGATGCGGTATTTCTATTCCATCGATGAATTAAAAACCGTCTTTAGGGAGCGTAGTTTTCCCACAGAATAGCCCGTATAAAAGAGATCCAGGTAATAATAGGTTACCGTCAGGACTCGCTTCTCTAGCCACGTCTATTCAACCTGTCATTCGCGTTTTGCGGTCGCTATTGTGATTTGCAATGGTAACCCTTCGCACATCCTGTCTATTGTCGCGAAAACGTTCGCTCGCGCTACTCCGCTTCCTCCTTTCCTGCATGTTCCCTATTTTTCCTCGCTTCTTTGCACTTGTTGTAGAATTCTTTATCTGTCTCTTCAAGCTCTTCTCCATTAATGATTATACTTGCATAATCGTAAGACAGTGTAGACACAAACACTTCATTATATACAGCTTTACTTATACATAATGTATTATTATTACAAATAGAGTTATATTTGTATTTTCTTTTTCACAAAAAACTAAAAAATTATTTTAAACTTTTTCCAAAAGTATATATAACCGATTGAGAAATCTCTATGTAAATTAAAAATTTTTATTTTGTTTGATTCTCTTATTATGAAAGAAAAAGAAATTGTTACGTAAAATTGAAAGTATATAATAAGATTCCGAAGTATTTCGATGTCTTCTCCATTCATTTTTGAAGCCCTAACAACAAGAAAATAATGCATCGTTATAGACATACAATACGTAGAGCAAGTGAACCATATAAGTAACGATTATCCCAGGTCAGTCCTGTGAACAATCAGAACGGAACAAATTGGGACGAGAGCGATTATCAAGTCCCATAGGACGGTTTTACATTGTAGTGTAGTAGGCGACATATGGTTGATGGTTCATTACTATTTTGTGCACAATTTGCTTAAATACCGTAAAAACTTTTTCGTCGTTCGCAATGAAGGCAGGAAGAGGTGGAAGGAAGGAAGCTAGCGTGGAGCATATAAGTAGCATGTAAGACTACATTCTATTCCTGTGCTACTTCCTTCGTGCGGATGTCTGATTGTAGGTTCCGGAATATATCAATTGTACTTTTTGATCAGAGACTTCTTGGTTTCCGCTTGTACATTGACGTTACATACATCGCAATTATATATATTATGTAATATCTACATAATATAATTATTTTCAATCAAGCAGAAATGTGGCAGCCTTGATACGTTTATCTATATTCTACCGGAAATATTATCCGTCGATTGATCATGGATATTAATTGTTTTGCATTATTTAACGATCGGTAATTATCGTGAATTGCATCTTTCGTGCAAAAGCAAGTCCTCTGTACGGAGCAACGTGCTGACTGAATAATTTGCAGCTACGGCAACTACGCACACGTGCCAGCCTCGACAATCTGGAAAGTGGTTAAGCATTAAAGCCGAAATTCCTAGCTACCGTGCACCAGAACGACTGATGGTAACGTTGACGACGCCTCGAGGCGGTGCAGTTGCAGGCAGCGAGCTGCAGCGAGATAGGCTAACGTCATAGGCCGTCCCTAGGGTGCAACTATGCCTTTGGCTTTGATGTTACCCACGGTTACGTCACGTGATCGTCCGCTATATCGTAGTTAATGGCCGGGGCCACATAGGAACGCAGCATTATCGAAGGGAGTTTAAAGGGGCCTGGAGTAGAGGGGTGAATGAAGAGGATAGAGGGGCGAGTGGAGCCGCGGCGAATGCATCCGGCGAGGCGGAAGTCCTGGACAGCCTCCGGATGCTCCGGTGGCACCTATGGTCAGCGAGACACATTCGCGCTACACCGACGCATCACGTGAATGTAATTATTCGCGACGACTCAACCGCTCGCGTCTGCGAACACAGATACAGTACGATTTGCGTTTTGGATCGTGTTGCATGATAAGGCGAAACAAGAAAAATTATGAAATTGCAAAGAAGATCAAGGCTAGCTTTTGTATGCTAATATTAGGTTAAGTAAAAAGTCATCGCATTTTTTGAAAAGACATCTATCAGTAAAAACCGCAATTACTTTCTTACCAACAATATAAATATATCTTGATAGAGTAAAGTTTCAGCTTTAAAAATCTCTTTTTTAAATTATACGATACGACAATTTTTAATGGAGTTATGAGCAATTAAAGTCAAAATAATTCTTTTATTTAATCCGCGATAACTCAGTAATCAAAAGTCGTAGGAATATTTAAAAAAAACGATTTTGTAGGGAAAGTATCAAGCTTTCACGATAGGTAATCGAAAATTTTCTCAAATTCGTTTTGGACACGTTACAAATCCACAAAGTGAGAAGAAAATTTTTCGTCTTTTTCAGCTCGTAGTTTTTGGTATGTAAAAATTATCAAACTCATATAAACTTAAAAAATGTGATAAGCTTTTAAAAGTAGAGATTTCAAGCTTTAAAACCCTTTTTTTAAATTTGAATTTCATTCATTATTGACGAAGATATTGTATATACAACTTTGAGCTAAAACATACGCGATGACTTTTTACTCAACCTAATATTATTTATTCTAATATTTGCTTGATTATTAAATAGCAAGCATGAATTAATCATTACAAGCTATTATAATGTAAATAGTTTTATTTGGATATTTGAATATTTGACCTTTCGTTGTATAAAGTCTGTGAGAATCGGGATACATATTCATGATGTATTTTTTATCATCATAATATATTTATGTATATATAGTTTTTGTGATACAAGAACTATATTTGCATAAATATATAGTTCTCTCTGTGTTGATGTAAGAAAATCATCTCAAGATTAAAAAACGTGTATTTTTTTTATACATATTAAACGTGTAGCACTTAATTTTAAAATATTTTTAATTTATTTAATTAAATGGTTAACTAAATTTACATGATAGTATCTATTATATTATTGGTATATTCAAACATATTTGAATATGTTGCGTAAACCTTATTAGATATTAACATTAATGATGATAAATTTATATTTTTGTAATTTATATTTCCAAGAATTAATAAAATTATAATTTATGAATAATTTTATTTTGTTGCTGCACTTCGTGTACATTGATGGAACATAGTCTATAATTAGTATAATCGTTTAGAATAAGAAACATTTTTAAATGCTTTTTGTACACGTATATGAATATGTATGTGTATAAAAAACGTGAAGGTTTTAAAGTTGCGATTTTTCTTTGCTACCGCTTAGTTTTATTTGAGCATATGTAAGAGAAACACGAAGTGAAATTATGGCTCAGTTAGAAACTAATTATATTTCGGAAACGGCAAGTAAGTTCTAAATATATATATGTATATATATGTATATATGTGTCGAAGAAATTTTAAATCTTTAAACATTTTTAGAAATGATATTACAAAATATTTTTTCTCAAAATTAATGTTAACTTCTATTTTATAGATTTCACAGATAGACAAAAGACAAAATGGTTATTAGTATCTGCGCCGATGCCAGTATTTTTTATATGCATAGTTTATCTTTATATCGTCTACATTGCTGGTCCGCAATTCATGAAAAACAGACAACCGTACTCGTTGAAAACGTTTATGCAGTGTTACAATGTTGTTCAAATTATTTCAAATGCTTGGATAGCGTTTAATTTCATGACATATGGTAGACCATTTACTGCTGTATGGAGATTTTGCGAGTCACTCGATGAACTTTGCGGCAATTACAGTGAAAAGGTATATTAAACTTTTAAATTGCCAAAACTAAGAACAGTTTAAATGTAGGATGGAGTTGGCTAAGCCGTACCGACGATTAAATCGTACCTCCATTGTATTTTCTAAATGAAACATTTTTTTTTAAAGATAACGACATTGATGTGACGGTAATATGGGGTAAGAAGTATTATTTTTTTTCGTTTTCGAGTCTGTTTATGAGTGAATTCAAAATTGATTTTGTTCGATGTCTGATCTGAGTTTTGGTACAATTTACTTAAGGTGTTATCAGTACAAGGTGGATAGTTGAATTATAGTGTTCTTCATGATTATAATTGATATTTAAACTCTTTTCGATTATATCATCAAATTAGCAAAATATTTGTAAGTTATGTTGCTATTGGCAAATTTGTAAAAATAGAGGGAGTTGGGTGAATCGTACTTGTCGCTGGTCTTTATATTGTATCGGTACGATTTTCGCAAGTAACGCGAGCAATATGTGGAGGTTACTATTATGATAAAAAAAGACTTACAGTGGATTCAGGTGCTCTAAGTGATTGCACGAAACCTGTAGTGACAATTGCCAAAACTGTTTAAATAAGCGCTCAAGAAAGTGATTACTTATCAACTATTGAGTCTTTCTATTAAATTTTTCTATTGAATCTTTTCTATTGTGACGGAAAATAATTGATTTTGCTTCCAAAATTTATTTTTTCAAAATATCTAAGACTTTAATATTCTGAAATATAGTGCAACGATAGCTTAAATCAATTTAAGTATTGCTTTTTACTTTGTTTTCTTAAAACGAGTTTAAAAAACACAGAGTCTAATTTCTGTTTTTATATATTAGGTCAAGTAAAAAGTCATTCGCGTTTTTTTAAAAGACATCTATCAGTAAAAACCGCAATTACTTTCTTACCAACAATATAAATATATCTTGATAGAGTAAAGTTTCAGCTTTAAAAATCTCTTTTTTAAATTATACGATACGACAATTTTTAATGGAGTTATGAGCAATTAAAGTCAAAATAATTCTTTTATTTAATCCGCGATAACTCAGTAATCAAAAGTCGTAGGAATATTTAAAAAAAACGATTTTGTAGGGAAAGTATCAAGCTTTCACGATAGGTAATCGAAAATTTTCTCAAATTCGTTTTGGACACGTTACAAATCCACAAAGTGAGAAGAAAATTTTTCGTCTTTTTCAGCTCGTAGTTTTTGGTATGTAAAAATTATCAAACTCATATAAACTTAAAAAATGTGATAAGCTTTTAAAAGTAGAGATTTCAAGCTTTAAAACCCTTTTTTTAAATTTGAATTTCATTCATTATTGACGAAGATATTGTATATACAACTTTGAGCTAAAAAATACGCGATGACTTTTTACTTAACCTAATAGAAAGGTTTTCATTATACCTACTTAAATATGTATACTCAGTTTGAAATTAAAAATAAATTTATTAATAAATGAGTTTTAAAATTAATTTTCTTTATTTTCCCAGTAAACAAACTGACGTTATTTGCCATCGTTTTGACATTGAAGATGCTATTTTAATGACAATAAGCAATGTCAGCTTGTTTGCTATATTAGAAGTACAATTTAACGAGCCAGTCTCCAAATCGTACCGAAAAAGCTTCTTTTTAAAAAAATCTAATTTAAATATTTAATGTTTATTTTTATAAAAGTATTGTTTTGTTTTATTGCCAATGAATCAAAGTTTAATGTAAGTACAGAAATATTCTGATCTCTTCAGTACTTTTATTACAATTTTGTTTAAACGTTAGGGGGTACGATATAGGCGACTTCCCCCTAATTTAAATTTAGTAGGTACATTTCAATTGTTACTCATACGACATACGTACAAACATCGATAAGCTAAACATATAAATTTGAAGAGTAAATATGACTTGGCAAACATTGAGACGAACAAAATGGCAATAGATTTAAATAGATTAAATTGACATCATTCACACATTACTAACCATTCATTAATACCTTGGAAGGATGTATATGTGAATATATGAAATATGAAGAAAAACGCCAGCCTATTACGGTCAAAGTTTAAAAAATGTAATAAATTCTTTACAGTTTTTCGAATTTAATTTAGGGGGAGATTAGCGTTTCAGATTGATTATGTTGAAAGTCCGAAAGTTATCGACGCTCAATCTTATCTGAAGTAAAATTCACTTAATATGAATATACGTATATTGTATTATTCAAAACATCTAACTTTGGCCGTGATAGGCTGGCGTTCTTCTTCGTATTAGATTTAAATAGATTTAAATAGATTTAAATTTCTTATTGCAGGTACTTGAAACAATGTGGTGGGCACTAATGCTTAAAGTGTACGATCTCGTTGAAACTGTAGTGTTTGTTTTGAGGAAGAAAGATCGCCAGATCTCATTTTTACACATATACCATCATGTTAGCACATTTATCTACGTTTGGTTGATGCTTAGTTACTTCAGTCATAGTTTTAACATAGTTACGATGTCGCTCAATTGTTCTGTACATGTTGTAATGTATTCCTATTATTTTCTGAGCACTTTTGGATCGAACATGCAACGAACACTTCTTCTAGTCAAGAAATCTATTACCACTTTACAAATGGTAAGCCCTAAATCTATATAATTTCTCGATATGTATATATTTCTCGATATTAAATATTGTTTTTATTAAAACAGACACATATTGCGTTCATAATGGTATTTAGTATGCAAGGATTTATACCCAGTTGCGGTGCCAAGATGGTGAAATACTACTCTGCAATAACATCTATCAATTGCATGATAAACTTGTTATTCTTTTACAATTACTTTTATCATTCTTATAGGAAACCGAAAGCAGCTTAATTTCGAAAGTACAATTTTGTCGAATAGGCACTTCTCTTAATTCAATAAAATTCATTCTTATTTTATTTTCTGTAAAAAAAAATATTAAATATGTACATCCAATTATCTCTATGCCCATGTATATATGTATATCCTATTATTATCCCACAATTTCCTGTGTATTTATGTACAACAAGGCGTAAGTAGCATAAAACAATGTTACGTAAAGGGTTGCGTCTCGCATGCTGATATCTTGAAAGTTGAAAGGTAGATAGTTGTAAACAGTTTGCGTGCACGTGCTGCACACTGCATGCTCGAGTCTTGCCGTGGGCAGGTGACGGTATCTCACGAGTGCGCCTTAAGTGCTAATTTCGCGAGCGTCACATTTCCCACGTTTGACACGGCGAATCCTCGGGAGATCCCGCGCGTCCACGTCGATGTCTACACGCGCAGCGGCGTACATAATTCTGGATTTAGTGTCGCGTTAGGCCGTCTGAGTTTGAGGATCGTAGTCCCCCGAGTGGCGCGAGATACCGCATGGCCGGCCGTGCAGCGTGATTTGTGGACGTCAATACGGGGGTTATGCGTGACGTATCTCACCGATCATAATTACATCCTGTTACTGGAGCCATGCCTACGCCACGGCTCCTCCTTCCTCCTGCCTTCCTTCCTTCCTTCCTTCCATCCACTCGTATCGCTCATACCGACCGTTCTCTCTATATCTACGATGACATGTAGAACTTTCTGATTTATCGATTCTGTAGAGGAACAGCTTAATCTTTCGCCGCGCGTCCTGTTGACAAAGCATCGCGCGAATTTATTAAAGAAGATTATATTTTCTACACCGCTCAAACAGTTTCAAATCGTAAATTAATTTTTAATTATGCATGACAGATATTATTTGGATGAGATAAATAAGGGTCGATTTTAAGTCGATTTTACGATTCGTGCGTATTGAAGAAGAATCATAAAGATATTTTTATATGGATTAGTCTCGCTTTTTACGTTTATCGCCTAGATGATTGCCGAGTTTTCTTTTTCTACGGACAGTGATATACGATATTTAAACGGATGCAATTTAATTTCTGTCAACACCTAGCTGCTTTCGAATCTGTATTTCGACACTTCCAAAAGCTTCTCCTCCTTTCGATGTTCTTTGAGACGGAAATAATAATCTTACGTGGCTGACAGGTAATAGCCGAACGTTATTGTCGCCACCTTTTGGGTACGCGTACATACGCTATTGTGTCGCTTTTTTATTTCTCTCACCATCGCGTTTAATAGCGACAACATTGTCAGTAAATCACACCTAGACCTGCGTGAACCTAGCGCAACTCTGGGCGAAGCTATTAGTATAAATACGGTTATAATGCAGGCCCCAGGGGTTGGAAAGGGTATAAACAGCTAGTAAATCAAGACCTGCGACCCTTCGGGCAGCAGGGGTCTGCCACCGACTCGAAATCAGGGCGAACGTTTAGCGTCTCGCAACAGCGAATGAGTTTTTCCTAATCGTCCGTTTTTGCTCGCCTGCTGGTTCTTGCAGGTCGCACTGCACTGACATCACTGTGTGCATTAATATAAAACGGATCACGTAAAATCGCGCGTTTCGATGCAAATGAAAATGTAACAAAGAATTATACGCATTATAACGTTAACAATATACGTTTTGTTGATTCACTTCTATTGTAAAAAATAAAAATAAATGTAAGAGCGAATAAATTCGTTAATTAAAAATCATACAAGTGTCACCGGATCGCCTATGTAATTTTAAGAAAGATGTATTTCTCAACATGATAAAATTGCTCTTTCTTCCTCGTCCTTTTCTTTAATATCCAAATATAATTTTCCAACGCTTCATCTCGATTCCATGATGAAAGCCCGAACTTATTTTCTTTACTATTTAGATAAATATTTGTTCAAATTTCCTCCGCCTTAAGATTTTCATGTTCCTTCCGATCGATCATATTTTCTTCAAAATAAAATGGACGAAGGGCCCCTTAAGAGGAAGAGAGTAAAATGTAATTATCGTATAACTTCAGTTTCAAAGAAATATTGATCTTCCCCTTCACTGGGCGTGACAACAGAAAAGATCGCGGGCAGGTGACGGGTGACATCGCGAGCCCAACTTGTACGAGTCTCTCACGTAACACATCGAGGATGTACCTCCGCCGAATTAATCCGCCATTAATATCCGCGCACCGAGGCGGAAGAGCCGGTCGAGTGTGTAAAGCTTCTCTCTAAACAAGCGGTTCTAACAAATGGCGAGATCGTCCGCGTCTCCCGACACGGCGTGGCGCTCCTAATGCCGCGGCCATGTATGCATACGACCGGACGGTGATTAATGCCGGCGTGGAGGGTCAAGATCCTCGTCGATTAATCAAATTAAGGGTGGAAGCGCGAGATAAAACTCGCGCCGCTGGAAAAGTCCGATGAGAAATCGTCACCGTGCCCGTTGCCGATATTGCCGGTATGTGCGACCGTTGGAAGAGGGAAGTCTGGGGGGAGGGAGCCTAAGAGAATCACACGAGTGTTGAAAAATGGACGGACATGACTTATCTGTATCGAGGATTGCGCCTGGCGGCCGTTTCGAAAGAGGCGTGACCACTGGCAGCCTGAAGCTTCGAACTCTCGTACTGTATTCTGGACCGAGAGAAAACTGGACGTTCTGGTCGCACGTAGAGAGGCCGGAAGGTAGGCCAGAAGGTAGAAGGGGCTTAAGATCTCTCGGGTGTAAACGGAAATGTGAAATATAGTCCTGATATGATCTACCCTGAAGTTAGCCTGTCTGTTCATCGCTCGTTCATCGCTTCACCCGAGTGGCGAATGAGGGACGGTCAAACGCGTCTGATGAGAATCAAATACGGCACCTACGCGTAACTGAATTCACGGGTCGCCGGACTTTCTCGCAGCACCGCAAAACGGACGCTGTAGAATATAGATGGACCTCTTTCGGCGTCCAGCGGGGCCGGAGAGCCCCGCGATTACAAACGCCGGCAGATCGGCGTGTCCCTCGAAACGATCACAGTTAAGTCCCGCGCACGAATTCATATCTCGCGCATCGTTTGTCTCGAACAGAAGCTCGCATAGGCATTCGTCGGGGACGTTTTGAAGCGATGAGCTGCGGAGCGAGAGAAAGAGGGAGGGTTGTTGGTTCGTCGAGTTCAGAGGGCGATCGTCGCGCGCGCGCGCGCGCGCGCGTGTGTGTGTGTGTACTAAGGTGGGACAAGGCGGAAAAGGCGGGAGGAACGGGAATGAAAGAGAACGAGAGAGATAGAGAGAACAGTCTCGTATTCGCAAACACGCAAATTTCAAAAGGCACTCGACTATGTGATGTCGCGGTGGGCATGAGCGACGGGGCTCTCCGACGACGTATGCAAATACAGATCGAGCATGATAAATTGCTCTTGTCAAGCCACCCGGTATTTCGCACGAGCCTATAGAAACCCGTTTATCGTACGAGGTACGGATTCCGCATATAATCTCCGCCGTTCTCGCCGACGGTTGAAGCAGCGCCGCGACGTGTCGCGTCGCGCATCGCGCGACGGACGAAACTTTCGCGTGCGCTTAGTCGGCGCCGTCGCCGACGTCGACGACGACGACGACGACGACGACGGCAATGACGCCGCGACGGAGTGCGGCCTGGCTATACCTCCGACGTCGTTATCGTTCGCCGCCGCCACCGCTGCGAATTTTAATGGAATAGTTGCGTTGTCGCCGCAAAACGATTCCGCGACTCGCGATTTGTCACGCCGGCAGAAACGCAAACGATCCTTCTCTGCGAATACTCGACAAAACTTTTGGATATAACGGACGAGTGGAATTAGGCGATACTGTAGTCTTGAAAATTCCCCTGGTTGCGTCTTTTATTTTATATTATTTCCTCTTGATGAACTTAATTTATATAAGATTGTAAGATATAAGATTAATTGATTATATCGGAGATTTTAATGAAATTTGAAAAATTGTTTGATTTATTTAATCCTGCTGATCTGTCTGAATATATTCGCGATCCAAAATATAATTTATTTCACGCCAGTATTTCACGACGTTATCTGTTAACGTAAGAAATGTTTTTCGTGAAATTTTTTTTGTTTCCTATTTTTTAAAGCTTTTCAATCATACTGATCTCCAAATATGATGACACGATCGTATAGTAAATTTAAACAGATCAGAATTAATTCGAATGGCAAGAGTACGCAAAATTAGGCTTGTTACTTCTTCCAACGTCCACTGGTGACCATTAAATTTATTCCTAGTTTGTGCGCGAGATGATATCTTAGCTAGCCATTACGAGGCAGAGTCGGCAGCTGAAGTCTAGGGGGGTTGTGTGATATTACCTTTCCCTTATGATTGCACAGAGCTGTCAACAATGTCGCTGCACGAAGAACATGAAAAGACTCGTGACGTTCTTTTGAACGAGAGGATCAGTCTTTATTTCTACCGGTCGCGAAAGAAAGCTCGTCGGCACTCGATTTAGGTGTAGATTCCGCGTCTAAATCGTTTCATTACAAGATTTCGTAGGGGGTCCTGGCACATCTGCATTAAATGCAGCCCGAAACCGGTTCACCAGCTTCGTATCAACCTACTACCTAAAAGAAGCATTTCTTTTTTTCCACGTCGATTTATTGCTCGTCACGTCACGTGAAAGATGTCGTCGACGAGCTCACCACGGTTTGAGAATTATTCTCGATAAAAGCGGCGGATATTGCGATAATAACCGGTTCTTGCACTAATCCCAACGGATTAAATGTACATGAGTTTTTATTATGCGCATTTATTTTAATCAGCTATTTAATATTCTAATCTTAATGAAATGCTTACGCTTGTTATGTAAGTATGAACATGTAATAATTAGCGTCTAGTCTATTTTTATACAATAATCCCAGTTTTTCGCATAGGAAACTTGAAAACCTTGAAAGCTGTTAATTACCTTCCGCGTAAATATTCCCGTGCGAAAAGCTGGTTTTTTTTTCTTTCGTCGGAAAATTTCGTTTTATATTTTTCGACACAAATGCATTAATGTGTGCTTTCAGTACATGCCCTT